AGAGACACGTGCACCCCAATGTTCATCGCAGCACTGTTTATCATAGCCAGGACATGGAAGCAACCTAGATGCCCCTCAGCAGACAATGGATGAGGAAGCTGTGGTACATATACACCATGGACTATTACTCAGCCATTAAAAAGAATTCATTTGAATCAGTTCTAATGAGATGGATGAAACTGGAGCCCATTATACAGAGCGAAGTAAGCCAGAAAGATAAAGACCATTACAGTATACTAACACATATATATGGAATTTAGAAAGATGGTAACGATAACCCTATGTGCAAAACAGAAAAAGAGACTCCGATGTATAGAACAGACTTGTGGACTCTGGGAGAAGGCGAGGGTGGGATGTTTGAAGAGAACAGCATCGAAACACGTATATTATCTAGGGTGAAACAGATCACCAGCCCAGGTTGGGTGCATGAGACAAGTGCTCGGGCCTGGTGCACTGGGAAGACCCAGAGGGATCGGGTGGAGAGGGAGGTGGGAGGGGGGACCGGGATGGGGAATACATGTAAATCCATGGCTAATTCATTTCAATGTATGACAAAAACCACTGCAATGATGTAAAGTAATTAGCCTCCAACTAATAAAAAAATAAAAATAAAAAAAATAAAATAAAATAAAAATTGCTTAGTAAACATGTTCTTGTAATTTTTAAGTTTAAGTACTGATGCATTTACATGCATTACATCTATGTTTGAAAACTCATCACACCTTCAGACTGTAAACTTGAAAGTCCCGGTCATCATGAATTCCAGACCATTTACTTTTCGTTGACTTCCATGGCAGTTTTTAAAGTTACATGAGTAACACGGGTCCTATTTATTATTAAAAAAAAAAAAAAAAAGCCTTCCTGCCAGGGTTCTCCTTGCTCACCATCTTGACCTTTGCACACACGTGCAGGTCCACCTTCTATGCTTCTCATTACTTGGTCGATGCATAGCCACTGGTTTCTGTGTTATTTAATTTTTTTCAATCACCCAGCAAGGTACTTGCGATGAAGGTCACCACTGTGTATGCAAAGAGGCAGGTCCCGGAGAGGTTCAGGCTGGGGGGCCCCATTCCAGCTCAGTCCACCCAATGGTCTCGCCCTTCATCAAGGCTTTTCTACCCTGATAGCATCCCCTGTGTCAGGAGTGTGGGGGGAAGGTGGGACGTTTGAGTCCTTTCTAGATTAGAAAGTCCTATCTACATTACTTTTTCCTGATTTAGTAACAATGTTTGTGTTAGTAGCTCAGTCGAGTCCAACTCTTTGTGACCCCATGGACTGTAGTCTGCAAGGTTCCTCCAGCCACAGAATTCTTCAGGTAAGAATACTGGAGTGGATTGCCATTCCCTTCTCCAGGGGATCTTCCCGACCCAAGGATCAAACTTGCATCTCCTGTGTCTCTGGCATTGCAGGCAGATTCTTTCCCACTTGAGCCATCAGAGAAGCCCTTCTCTTAATCCCAGTCAAAGGAAAAAACCAGATTTGGGCATTTATTCTGAAACAGTGCCTACCTCCCTATATACACATCAGGTACTCCCAACTTGAGAAGAGGCTCCTCATCTTTTTCAGGTCCCTCCATGGCACCTCCCCGCCCCCATTGTTGGATCCTAGATCTGGGCTTCGTGACTCGGGAGGGTGTTAGTATCCACAGGCCTGTGCCAGCCTTGTCCCCTGTTATGGTGGCATCGTGAAGCAGCAGCCTTAACAGGAGTGCAGATGAAAGGGTCTGAGGGCCGTGCCCTGGTTCTGGCCCATGCACAGGCTCCTGGCCCACCTTCAAGGGAGATGCAGGTGCAGCTGTGCCCTCATGGGGGGCCACCCTGCACGGTCAAGCGGGCCTCACCATCGTGCCCACCTCGCACCGCACACAGAAGCTGACCCCGCACCCAGGGCAGATCGTGAGCCCTGCATCCATCAAGCTGACGCCTTCCCAGCTCCACAGGAACCAGCCCGTGAGTTGGGGATGTTAGGGATGCATCCTTAACCCATGAGTTAGGGATGCAGTCTGAGCCTGGAGATCCAGGAGACCGGCACCAGCCTGGGCGGGGCTCCGCGAGAGGAAGGCTTCCTTCCTTCATGTCATCTCTGCTCTGATGCAGTCAGCAACATGCAGGATCTGGGGTCAGTTTCCCTGCTGTGGGCCGGGCATGTGACGCATGGAGACAGGCTGAGACCAGGCCTTGTGCACACAGACTCATAGCTGGTGACAACATCTCTGTAATTGGGTCTCTGCATCGGGCCCCGCTTTGGGGCCCATGAGTCACCTGGGAACTTGTAAACCATGAAAGCCGATTCCCCAGCACAGTGGGGCTGAGGGCACACCCTCGACCCACTCCAGAGGTGCAGCCCCCGTGAAGGTGCAGGACAACTGTTTTGGTGCCAGGGGATCTGTTATCCACGGATGCAGACTGTACTCACCTGGGATGGTGGAGATTCAAAGTCTGCCAGGCACTGTGCGTGGGTTCAAGTCACAGAGGTGAGAGAGGCACGAGGAGCCCACTGTTTGCACAGAAGACCAGCTCCAAGGACGTGCATGGAGCCTAGGAATTAGGTCAGACGCAGAGGGACACAGGCGGGAGGGAGTGGAGTCTAGGCAGAGGAAGACGTGCTCGGAGGTTGTGGTGCGGCCATTCCAGGAGCGGCACGGGGCGCCCTGCTGAGCTCCCGGAACAGCAGCCGGAGTTCAGCCATGTGATGGGTCAGCTTCCTGGAGAGCCTTGGGCAACAATCACCATGAGACAGTCTTACCCTCCATCACAGTTTTCTCTGAGCACAGAAGGCCATCTCTCATGTGTGTGTGTCCTACAGACATCTTCAAGAGCAACACGGGCCATAATGGAATTTACTTTTCTAACTAGGTTATTGTCAAGGTCAGTCTGTAATTCCTCTGTAACACAAGTGACAAAATGGACCATGTGCCAGGCTGTGTGCGAGTATTTTGACAATCTTGTATTCTGAGCAGAAGGCCCGGAAATCAGGTGGCTTATCGGAAGTGCAGTCATCTGCAAACTGATTTTGGTGACACCTGACAAAACATCTCCTGGGGTCCCTTGAAAGAAGCAGCACATTGACTCTGCGCCCATGGCCCCGTGCCGACCAGCGCCACCCTGGGTCGTGGTGTGAGAAGGACCAGAAAGCTTTCTCAGAGCCCAGAAGTTTCAAAATTGCCACCTTACCGTGTAATCAAAGCATTTGTAAGGGTCAGCGAGAGCGCAGCAATGAAAATGAGCTGTCATCAACAAATCTCATTAGAATGCAGGGTTGCCTTTTAGCAAAGTGTGTTTGGAATAATAACCAGCTCCTGGGCATTTCAACACACTCCACAAATGTGAAGCATCAGGCTGGAAGTATTAAAAAAAAAATGTTTTAAACCCCTCTCATTAGTTCACTTTGATTTCTGTCTCCATAGAAACTGGATATTTGAATGCAGTAAGATATTTTTGTCTTTGGAGTTTTTGTGTGTCTTGGAATTTGGATGTGTGCACGCACAACCAGCCAGATGCAGGGAGCGGGGTGTGCGGTGCGGGTGGACAAGGCACACAGGGCGATGGGGCTCGGCCGGAGGCCAGAGAGGAGGTGTCCAGTCCACAGGCTGTTCCAAGAAAGACAGGCCCACGGTTTCCAAACAACAGGACACTGGCCAGGGCTCTGCACCAGCCGGCTGTCCACACTGGTGACGCGTGTCAGAGGAGACCACGTGGGACATCACCCTCTGGGAAGGTGGCCTGGCTCTTCAGAGGACAGCATCCACCCCCCATAACATCTGCCCTGGGCCAAGCACGGTGTCCCTCCCAGTGAAACGCTGACGTTTTCAGATATGCTGGAGCCTCTCATCCTTTTTTTTTTTTTTTCCATTTATTTTTATTAGTTGGAGGCTAATTACTTTACATCATTGCAATGGTTTTTGTCATACATTGAAATGAATTAGCCATGGATTTACATGTATTCCCCATCCCGGTCCCCCCTCCCACCTCCCTCTCCACCCAATCCCTCTGGGTCTTCCCAGTGTACCAGGCCCAAGCACTTGTCTCATGCATCCAACCTGGGCTGGTGATCTGTTTCACCCTAGATAATATACATGTTTCGATGCTGTTCTCTTGAAACATCCCACCCGCGCCTTCTCCCACAGAGTCCACAAGTCTGTTCTATACATCGGAGTCTCTTTTTCTGTTTTGCATATAGGGTTATCGTTTCCATCTTTCTAAATTCCATATATATGTGTTAGTATACTGTAATGGTCTTTATCTTTCTGGCTTACTTCGCTCTGTATAATGGGTGGAGCCTCTCATCCTGAAGTGTGTTTGAAGGCTAGGAGTGAGCCAACAGCACAGACACAGGCTTGCGTTGTAGTGGGTGGTAGGGATTTGCTGAGGTGAGTGTTTATTTCGAGGAAAGTAGGTTTTTCTCAAATAAAATGCCCACACTCCTCTGAGCTCTGTCACAGGGGGTGAGCAGGAAGCAATGAAGCCTTTGCAGACACACCATTAAATACGCTGCTTTTATTCCACAAGTTCTCTGGTCTGTGTTCCAGCTGGGGTAGAGTTTTCTCTCTGGGGTGCAGTTCAGAACCTGGAGACCGTGGGGCGGAGAAACTGTGGCTGAGTCAGAGGCCAAGTCCTGCCCCAGGCCCCGAGGCCGCCTCACCTGCCCACAGCCCGGGGCGCAGGGCCTCTGAGACCGCCAGGCTGGCCCTGCCCCAGGGAAGCCGAGTCCTCCTTCCTGAGCTTGCTGGTCCCACCGCCCTGGCACTCCTGCCCCCGCCCCCACCCCGCTGGGTCCAGCCCACAGTGACCGCAAACCTGGGCAGCGGCATCTGCAGGGAGGGCTCGGGGCCAGGCTGGAGGTGTGACCGGGGATGCAGGGGTGCCCTGGGCCCTCTGGTCTTCAGCAGGGATGCTGCTGGGCCTGAGGCCTCTGTGAGTGCCTTCGGGCCTCCGGGAAGAGCTGTGGTCCCACCTGCTTCCTGTCTGCCAGCCCATTGTCTGAGTCCTGGGAGGACTAACCTTGGGTCCTGGAGGTGGAGTGTGGGCTGGGGGCCCTCGGAGCCCGGGCTTTGGGCCACGTGCAGACAACAGTGGCCAGCAGCGTGGGCACCGGCCCCCGGGCTGGGGAGAGCGGGGTCAGGGAGTGGCCGGTGCGTGGACAGGGCGACCCCAGGGGTCCTAGTCCTGGCTCCTCACTCCTTCCCAGAGACCACCCCTCCCGTTCGCTTCTTCCCAGGCTTTGCCAAGGCAGCTGGATTCTTTCTTCTTGGATTAGCCCTGCTCCCCTCCTCAGAGCTCCCCAGGCCTCCCACCTGCAGAAACCCATTTCTTCTGGGGCGAAAGGTCACCTCCGCAGGGGAGCACTCAGACGCACAGCCTGAGATTCGTCACTGAGTGTTGAGAGCACCCTGCACCTTCCCTGAGGCAAAGCTCCTCTTCCTTGTCATTTCTCGTTGAACATACATGAACCCGGCTGAGCTGAGCGCCTGGGGGGCAGTGGCCAGTGCAGCCTTACCAGCCCCTCCAAGGGCCGTGTGTGCAGTTGGAGGTCCACCTGGGGACCAGAGCCACAGCCCCTCCCACAGAAAGCTCTGACTCGCTGTGTCGACTCCTAACCCGGGATCCATCCCCTGCTTTGTTCTGACGGACCCCTGCTCCTGACCTGTAGGCTTTTCCAGCTATTTTCGTGGATGAAGTTTCTGCTACTGTTTTGCGTGTCATTCAGAAGAGACCTCCTCGCTGGTTTTGGAACAAGCTCGTCCCTGGGAGAGCTACAGGCTCACAACCTTGTGCAGATAGGAAGCCTTCCTCGCTTTGCAGAAGGCTCGTGTGAGGTGCCTGCTGACCCTGATGACGGTCTCCTAATCGCAGATGGCGTCGCAGGTCAGAGAAGCATCTTCACACTCCACCCTCTACCTCCTTACATGCTGCCATCGCTGCTTATGCTCATTTTCCCTTTTAAATATGACCGAAGTTCTGTCAGTCTCACTAAATGAGTAACACCGTGTGGGTGCTACAGCAGTGCTTTCAGGGCACTCGCAGGACTGTTCAGAATTGACTTGGGTGCCTGTTCTTGTTGCCTGCAAGTACGGAACTCAGGGCTGTTACAGTGTCGTTTCGGAAGTGGCTGACTTAATAAAACTGCTTTTAAAAATGACTTCCACAAGGATCACCTTTCTGCGCAAACTAAGCTTTTTAACTTAAAAAAAAGTGTGGGCACAGAAACACAAACTTCATTTAATAAAAAATAAAGTGACATAGATTGCTGACGAATCGTCTAACATCTATGCTCGATCGGTGCCAGATAGCAGCTGCCTCTGTACGTGAACTTCAGTGGGATCCATTGACGAGCCCAGGGTTTGCCATTGACCCGAGAAGCCCAGCAGTAGCCTGGGGTCGGGCTCTGGCCTGAGTCCGCCCGTCCAGGCTCCAGGCTTCCCCCGCCCACGGGCCTGCAGACCCTCTGTGTTATGGGCCCCCTGTCCTTGTTCCCACTGGGTTTCGGGTGACGTGGTAAGAGTCCCAGGTCTCAGGGGAGCTGCAGGATTCTTAAGGGCACCCCATGTTGAGCAGATCGCGTATGTTAGCATGGGTATCTGTGTTTTTACTCATCTTGCTTATTTACATTTTCAAAAGGTCCAAGTCCAAAGAATTGTTCTCGATTTACAGTCATAATCCGCACAAATGGTCCTTGGTCAGACACCATAGAAATAGCCGCAGAGAGAACCAGGTTAGACCCCCCCCCACCCCATCCTGTTCTAAGCACTGCTCCGAAGTCCCGTGTGGGCTGCAAGCTAGAAGAGAAGAAATGTGATGAGAAAAGTATTCCAGCCGGTTAGTCTACACCCTGCCTCCTAGAAACATGGGTTTATCCCCTTAATTAGTAGCTTTAAGATCTATTTTGAATACTAACAGGACAAGCTGATTGCAAGATTTCACTTCTGATAAGACAGATGGATCCTTGTAAACATACTTTCAGCCAGCTTCAAAACAAACTGAGATCTGGTATTTACTAAAAATGGCATCTTCCTTGCAGGTGCTTTCTCTTCATTTCAGGTTACTAGCCATATTTCTCCTCTTCTACGGCAAAGTTTATCTTCCTCGGTGAAGTACTCCTGCCCCCTCCCCAGCCCCCACCCCCCATCCTGAAAGACTTTCTTGTTTTCCAAGCATGTCTTCACAGAAGCAAAACAGAGCTGCAGTCGCAGGCGCTACGCTCTCGGTTATTTTCCTCATTAGTCCCGTTGTGAAGGGAGTGCACATGTCTACAGCTCATAAAGTTGATGCAGACAAGTGATGAAAGCGACCGCTCCTGTAATTGTGTCTGCTCTCTGTCTTCACAAGACCTCTGTGTTCTTCCTGCAGTGTGTTTGGAAATGTACATTTAAAAAAATGGTTAGTAGTATGGTCATTTAGGTTGGGCTAGTGTTCTGAATAACTGAGCGTTTTCCCTCAGTGAGAATAAAACCTTACTGCATTTTCCGATTTCAGATGAAAGTTATTCTAATATATATTATTTCTGTCCTTTTAGTCTGTTAAAGGAGATGCAGTGCTTGGTATTTCCCTGGCTTTGACCTTTTAAAATGGCAGATCCATGGTTTAACCAGATGCACTTAGACACAGGGTGTTTGTTGGCTGGTGGATGATGGCTCAGTTTCCAAGAGTTAATAAAACCCTAAGGTTTTCCACAAAATGCTGTGCAAATGTGTCCGTACCCTTTACCAGCCTGAAGCAATGTCTGAGTCTCCCATGAGCGTACCTGAACTGTCTTGAGGGTGTGAGGGCTGGACGTGGCAGGTGAATTCTGAGGAACGCTGTTTTCTCGAAGCTTTAGTGATGGAGCAGTGATGGGTGGGTTTAGCCAGAGGACTCAGAAACTTTGCTCAGTTCCCAGAGATTCAATGGCACCCCACTCCAGTACTCCGACCTGGAGAATCCCATGGACGGAGGAGCCTGGTAGGCTGCAGGCCATGGGGTCGCTGAGAGTCGGACACGACTGAGCGACTTCACTTTCACTTTTCACTTTCATGCACTGGAGAAGGAAATGGTAACCCACTCCAGTGTTCTTGCCTGGAGAATCCCAGGGACGGCGGAGCCTGGTGGGCTGCCATCTGTGGGGTCGCACAGAGTCAGACACGACTGAAGCAGCTTAGCAGCAGAGATTCAAAGAGGGGCAGGAAGGGGGGTGAGAAGCAGAGTCCAGGCAGAGGAGGGCAGGTTTTTCTGGTTAGGGAGACTCGGGGCTGGACATCCCCATGTGTCCCGGCCGGTCTTCTGTCCACTCCATAGAGAGGAGTGTGTGCTTGGCTGTCCTGACCCATCTGCCAAGGGGTTGCCACACTCCCCCAGGGTATCACCAGCCGCCAACCCCCCTCCCGTTTGGAAAGCTTGATGCTCCATATCCACAATCAGCATTGCAGCTGGGAGTCCTCGAAGGGGCTCTGTTCTGAGAGGGTGTGTTTGTCACTGTTGGGGAGACTCTAAATGAGCTTGGGTTCACGTCTTCGCCAAATGAGCCACATACCAAGGACGGGTGGTTTGTAAACTGATTGGTGGGGTGAACACCTGAAATCTGACCAGTCCTGCCCCAGAGAGGAGCCTCGTGGCCGCGTTCACAGCCTCTCTTTGGGCTTTAAGTCCTGTGGATTCCCTCGTGGGGGACAGTCAGTGTTAAGAAGCTGTGCTACCTTCAGACCTGTCGACATTTAGTGGAATGAAGTGAATAACAAAACCCCGTCCTGGTACCGACAGACTGACACTGATCATGACCAGACAACGAACGGGAAACATGTGCATGGCCACCAGGAACCTCACAGCACTGTCTGGAAGGCTCCTGATTTATGGATGTCTGCCCCCAGTCACTTCTTCTCCGAAGCATGGAGTTACAGAGATGGAAATATCGAGTCTATCAAGTTAAAATTGTTCTACATTTGAGACCCCCACCTGAACACCCCGCGACCGCTCCCTGTGTCCCAGCTGCTTAGTACTGAACTTGTGTCTTCTAGCTAATTGTTTTGATTAGCTGTGAAGAAGCAGGTATTAGTGGACTTTTTAATCACTTTAATTTTTTTAACTGTTTAAACAAATATTTATCCAAACCTTTGCTAGGACTTTTTCATCTTATTTCCTGTTGTCCTCATAATACCCCTGAGGATTAAGATGATAAAATAAACTCCTACAAAGCAAAGTGACTTCCTGGGTCCTACAGCCAAGTTGAGGTCTGGGGGTCAGCACATCCTCTGTCTGCAACTCCCCCTGCAGACAATGCGGGGGATGAGGAATCACATCAAAACCACCACACCCGACTCTCACCGCTTCAGGGTTCTCATGCTGTTTATGCTATAGGAATTGTGACTTTTATTCCTTTCTATAGACAGAGACTGGAGATAACTTCTGGTGCATTCTTTACATTTGATTAAGGCAGTATTTCCTCAACTTTACAGAGATGAAACCTCATCATCTACTTTGTTCAGTCGCTCAGTCGTGTCCTACTCTTTGCGACCCCAAGGACTACAGCACGCCAGGCTTCCCCGTCCATCACCAACTCCCAGAGCTTGCTCAAACTCATGTCCACTGAGTCAGTGATGCCATCCAACCTTCTTATCCTCTGTCATCCCCTTCTCCTGCCTTCAATCTTTGCCAGAGTCAGAGTCTTTTTAATAGCTTTAGCTTCAGCATCAGTCCTTCCAGTGAATATTCAGGATGAATATTTCCTTTAGGATTGACTGCTTTGACCTCCTTGCAGTCCAAGGGACTCTCAAGAGTCTTCTCCAACACCACAGTTCAAAAGCATCAATTCTTTGGCACTCAGCTTTTTTTACGGTCCAAATCTCACATCCATACATGATTACTGGAAAAACCATAGCTTTGACTAGACGGACCTTTGTTGGCAAAGAAATGTCTCTGCTTTTTAATATGCTATCTAGGTTGGTCATAGCTTTTCTTCCAAGGAGCAAGCGTCTTTTAATTTCATGGCTGCAGTCAGCATATGCAGTGATTTTGGAGCCCAAGAAAATAAAGTCTCTCACTGTTTCCATTGTTTCCCCATCTATTTGCCATGAAGTGTGACTGGGAATTGGATGCCGTGATCTTAGTTTTTTGAATGTTGAGTTAAGCCAGCTTTTTCACTCTCTTCTTTCACTTTCATCAAGAGGCTCTTTACTTCCCTTTCACTTTCTGCCGTAAGGGTAGTGTCATCTGCATAACTGATGTTATTGATATTTCTCCCAGGAATCCTGATTCCAGCTTGTGATTCATCCAGCCCTACATGTCTCCTGATGTACTCTGCATATAAGTTAAATAAGCAGGGTGACAATATACAGCCTTGATGTACTCCTTTCCCAATTTTGAACCAGTTCGTTGTTCCACGTCTACTTTGTGGTCCAGTCTCTTTGGGGAACTTGAGGGGTGGAGTCAAGAGTGAAGAATGATTAGCAGCTTTTATCAGGGATGAAGACTGCAGTATCCCACAAGGAAACTGCTCAGCTGTGTTACCAGTGAATTTTCACATGCAGTGTAACTTCCACACAAAAGTCTGGGGTGATGGAGATTCAAGAACACACTCTGTCTATGAAATATAAACAGCAAGCCAGATTTTGAAAGAATTGAAATTGTAAATGCCAGGCTAGGTTTCCCATCTCCAAAACCAGGCAGTTGGTGAGCCTGCTGAAATGATGGATTCTGGTGAGGGACCAGGTAGGAGAGACCAGCTGGGTTCATGTTGGACAGGACACAGTTTTCGCTGGGTTGTTGTTGTCTCAGGAAGATATAAATTAATTTAATTCCTCTGCTGCTGTAACTCAGCCTTCAGGACTTGGGCTGAACATCCTGGGTTGCTAGGCAACGGGTACCAGTGGGCGGGTGCGGGAGCTGGGACTGAGCAAGTCCTGGGCCGGCGCAGAGATGCATCCGCTGGGCTACTTTCTGAGCAGCATTATCTCCGAGAAACATGCCAGGCCCGCAGCCTGGGACACAGCAGGGCTGATTTGTAGGAGCCATTTTCTTTTCCAAGGGTTGATTTCAGAAGAAATGGTAGTTTCCAGCAGGTGACAGAAGCAAACATTGCTCATCATCTCATCACACAAGAAATCTTAACAAGGAAAATCATCCTTGATGTTGATAAAGAAGGCCCTTTCGTTAAAGATGACGCCGAGTGCAGAACCGCTGTGCTGTGCGTCGTGTAAAACACACAAGCTGCTGAACGAGACAAACACTGAGGCAGAAAAGCACCAACACAGTTCAGCGCCCTGATGGGTCTTCTGGGGCCCACGGTGCTGGTTCTCTCTCCTGGGCTTTGACTTGCTGTTCTGATGCTTCTGCCAGGAGGCCCCCCGGGTTCTGGAGGTGTGGCGCCCAGGATGGAGCAAGAACCCTGAGTAGCTGCAGCCCTGGAACTGGGCCGGCCGGCGAGACCTGGCTCCAGGGACCCAGGTGCCGAGCAGAGTCTTGCTGGTGCTCCTCAGCCAGCGTGCCTGTCAAGCCGGGTTCTGGAGGAGCTGGACAGCCGGCCCCTCCTTCCACTCCTGCCCCGTGTCCTCCTCCACGGCCCCACACTCTCTCTGCCTAAGAGCCTAGTCCAGCAGCCCCTTCTCCCCACTCCTGCACCCCCGTGTCCTGTCCAGGCCCCCACGCCCTGTCTCTGCCTGAGAGCCCAGCCCATCGGCCCCTCTTCCAGGCCACCCCTCAGCAGCTCCTTTTCCTCACGTGCTCCCCAGACCAGCTCCCAGGCAGGCGTCAGGGCCCCACACGAGGCACAGACCCTGCAGGGCAAGCGGTGCGAGGAGGGAGTCTGTGAACACCCGGGGCCAGCCCGTCCAGTAACTGCAGAGAGTGGGCAAAGGGGAGGGAGCCCACGGGCTCTCAGGCTGTATTCCTCCGGCTCCAGGCCTCCATGCCACACAGCAGGGCGAGGCAGGTTGAGGAGCACGTTGAGACCCCAGAACCCCAGACCCATGTCAGTCAGAAGGCTGCCGTGTTCACATCTCATCACTCAAGTTGATTTCCCCAGAAAAAAATAAAATAAAAATTTTTGAAACTCATCACCAGCAGAGGAATGCTAATTTCTCCAGTACCCCCCACCGCCCACCCCTGCCAAGAGAGAGTGTGACCCACAGGCTTCTGCACACGGCCGGGCCTGGCAGGGCATAATTGCGTCATGCCTCTCCTCCAGCCACCTTCAGGAACAGTCTGCCCCAGACGTGGACCCAGGGCAGAGCATCAGGGCATCCAGGCTGGTCCCGTGTTTCTCTGGGAACCTCGGTGCTTCTAAGAGTCTCCGAGTCTGTTCAAGTGGGTGTTGGACCAGCATCTGGTCCTGCCAGCTCAGAACCTGGGGCGCCCTCAATCCTGAGAAGGAGATGGGCAGTGCCCCCCAACCTCATCTGTGTCCACAGCGGCCTCAGCAAAGGGCCACAAGCTGGGGAGGGTGGAGTCTGCAGGCAGGAGGCCACGAGCCCAGAGTCAGGGCAGACCCTGCTGGGCTGTGGCCATCTGCGTCCTGCTGCCGCCGGCAAGTCTCTCGAGGTGAACAGTCCCCTTTGGGGGGAGGGTGCTCAGCCAGGTGCATCCCTGAATCCCAAGGCTGTTCTCTAGTTGCTGTGCACCAGGACAGCCTCGTTGGCCCCAGTAACTGGCCGCCACCCCAGCGGGGTTGGGATTCATCGCAAGTGGTCGATGCTGTAGCTTGTGGTTGATAAATGTTTTTAATACTGCCTCTGTGGAAATGTGTTTTGTTACACACTCCCTTCTTTAAACCTTCATAGAGCAACTCAGAAACGGCCAAAGAAGTGGTTTTGTGGCCAACAGAGGCACTACTGGTATTTATTCTATTTTCTCTTAAGTATTTGATACTTGACTCAATCCTCAAGTGATAGAATGGAGAGATAAACAGATTAAAAGTGACAGTGAATTACCTTCAGGCACCATCTGCCATTTCCTGAGCTCTTGGTTCCCACTTGCTGTCCTGTGGTCAGAGGTCTTGCCCAGGATTTCCCTCCCCTCTCCCAGGGCTCCGCCATGACTGCGCCTGGAATGTCCTCCAGACTGTCCCCAGGGACCACCCATTCAGCGCCCAGGTCCTGCCTCTGAGTGCAGGCCCTTCTCAGGTCTCGACACCCACCTTCCACAGCACCTGACCCTCTGCACTTCTCACCTGTGGGTTCAGACTCTCAGCTGGCTTTCAGCTTCCAAGTCTCGATTCTAAACCTTCTGAAGCCTGACTTACCGCACTCCTGTGGGAGGAAGGCGACATAGCCCTAACAGCGTCCCTGCAGCAATGAAGCCGCAGTGAGGTGTCAGCCTGCTTCTGGGGTGCCAGTCCGCCTTCCCCTTTCTTCTATGCCCCCGGGGCCCCAACCACTCCCCCAGCTCCAACTTCCACGGCTCAGCTGAGCACAGTGTGTGTGTTTGGCCGAGACCAGCTCGGTTGCTGGGATCGTGCGCTTCCCCGTGGGCCCTCACCCATGCGGTGTCAGTGTCCCAGCACAGTGACTCCAAGCAGCCAGGCCGCCCTCCTTTGGGGCCTCCCCCGGGCCAGACCCCGCCCCACTCTGTGCTCTCCTCCCCCTGCAGCCCAAGTCACACTGCTCTGTGATCTGTGTGCCCCGTCTGACACTCAGGGCTCTAAGTGTGTGCAGAGCCGAGCTGGGCTTCCCAGGTGGCACCCTAAGCATCCACCCACAAATCCAGGAGATGCAACAAAGTTTCAATCCCTGGGTTGGGAAGATCCCCTGGAGGAGGGCATGGCAACCCACTCCAGTATTCTTGCCTGGAGAATCCCAGGGACAGTGGAGCCTGGTAGACTACAGTCCACGGGGTCGCAAGAAATTGAACACCAGTGAGCAACAAGAGACAAATTTATTCTAGGCAAATCTTGCAGGATAGAGCATCTACTGTGTGGAGCACTTACTGTTTCACCCTTACCTCTAGTAACAAGTGGCCTGCTGCCCTGGGAGGGTCAGGTTCATCTTCCTGGGGGCGCTGCAGGACAGCCGGGGTGGATCGGGGGTGGACTGCAGTCCAGACCTTCCTGCCCCCAGGACAGCGGGACCCCCCCACCCCTGCCTGGTCCATACCTGCAGCTAAGGGCCCAGACAGACAAACTGTCAGTTGAGAAACAGACTGTGTAGAATGGTCACACCAAGGCCGCGCCATGGCCAGTGCTGCATGGGGCAGGACTCAGCCATAATTACTGCCTCCCCACCCTGCACCGGGTCCACCCTCCTCCTAACCTGCACCGAGTCCACACTCTCCTCCTCCCCCTGCTGCGTGTCCACGCTCTCCTCCTCCCCATGCTCCGTGTCCACACACTCCTCCCCCTGCTGCGTGTCCACGCTCTCCTCCCTCTGCTGCGTGTCCACGCTCTCCTCCTCCCCCTGCTCCGTGTCCACGCTATCCTCCTCCCCCTGCTCTGTGTCCACATCTCCTCCCTCTGCTCCATAAAAGCAGCCACCAATTAAGAAAGCGTTGAAGCTCAACAATAAAATTATATTAATTTCAATAACAAGTAAGTCCACACTCTCCTCCTCCCCCTGCTCCGTGTCCACGCTCCCTCCTCCCCCTGCTCCGTGTCCACGCTCTCCTCCTCCCCCTGCTCCGTGTCCACGCTCTCCTCCTCCCCCTGCTCCGTGTCCACGCTCTCCTCCTCCCCCTGCTCCGTGTCCATGCTCTCCTCCTCCCCGTGCTCCGTGTCCACGGTCTCCTCCTCCCCCTGCTCCGTGTCCACGGTCTCCTCCTCCCCGTGCTCCATGTGCACGCTCTCCTCCCCGTGCTCCGTGTCCATGCTGTCCTCCCCCCTTGCTCCGTGTCCACGCTCTCCTCCTCCCCCTGCTCCGTGTCCACGCTCCCTCCTCCCCCTGCTCCGTGTCCACGCTCTCCTCCTCCCCCTGCTCCGTGTCCACGCTCTCCTCCTCCCCCTGCTCCGTGTCCATGGTCTCCTCCTCTCCGTGCTCCATGTGCACGCTCTCCTCCCCGTGCTCCGTGTCCATGGTCTCCTCCTCCCCCTGCTCTGTGGCCATGCTCTCCTCCTCCCCGTGCTCTGTGTCCACGCTCTCCTCCTCCCCCTGCTCCGTGTCCACGCTCTCCTCCTCCCCCTGCTCCGTGTCCACGGTCTCCTCCTCCCCCTGCTCCGTGTCCACGCTCTCCTCCTCTCCGTGCTCCATGTGCACGCTCTCCTCCCCGTGCTCCGTGTCCATGCTGTCCTCCCCCCTTGCTCCGTGTCCAGGCTCTCCTCCCCCTACTCCATGTCCACGCTTTTCTGCTTCCACGCCTTCTCCCTCAGCCTCTGTGTGACTGTTTTTCCTCCACATGGCCCAGTTCAACTGGACTCCCTCTGTTAAGTCCTCTGTGGGGAATCTTCCTCCTTTGTTGAAACTCTGGCTCAGAATGGCAACTTTAAAGCCAGCTCAGAGGCCGCATCCATCATCTTTGGACCTGCGCCTGTCTGCTCCCGGGTTAACTCTCTCCCAGCTCACCTGTCTGTGCTGACGACGAACTGCCTTCTCCCCATCTGCTCACAGGAGTGTGCATCCAAAATAGCTGCTTGTTTTCTTCCCTGACATTCACTTCCTCTTGTCTAAACACATGGGTTCTCACGGTTCACAGACTCAGAGCCCACCAGCGGTCAGGTTACATGCCCAGAAGAATCTGAAAAGTAGGAATTGAAAGTGATGACCGAAGGGAGAATCCTTGAACCCAGAGAACAGCTAGCCTGGGACAGTGGTCTGCAGGAAGGAATGACTTTGCGAGTTTTGCTAGGTGGATGGAGTCAGTGGTGTCTGGCCAGCAGAAAGAGGGTTTTTCACGGTGAGGGCGTGGGGGTTCCCTGTTTCTTTGGGTTCAATGCCCTGTGTCGGGCTGTCTTGTCCGTTTTTCTCCTTTGTACACAAGGGGTTAACATGACCTTTGGAAATGACCCACCTTCCTTTTCCCCAGTCGGCATCTTTTACTCTAATCACCGTGTCTAAACCCCCAGTTAAGATGGCCATGGCCATCTGCATGTGACCCAAGTCAGTGGCAGTGGGACTACCACCATCTGACAGCTGGGCGGGGGGCTGAGAGAACTTGGGGAGGGTTCCAGGCCTGGTTCTAGCTGGGATCTGCTGGTTACTGTGCAGACCAGGCCGTTACCTACGTCATGAGATGCTTAAGTTTTCCTGAGCTGCCACTCGTGACCCTAAATGCTGTTAGTGAAGTGCCTTCTGCTTCATCCTTGGCTTCCTGTTCCTTTTCTTGTGTTTCTCTTAGGAAAGAGCCTGTTTGCTGTCTTTGCTTATTTCTCATCTTCCCGAGATGTCTGGTTACTTCCTGGGTCTGTCCCAGGCAGCAGCTGCTGTCCCTTTGGGTTGGGGACTTGTGCTTTGGAGGATGATAAGTCTTGGAGACTTCTGATGTGATCCTCCCTGGCACAGGCAGCAAGGGCTGTGTGTGGACGCCCCTGTTTTCTCAGAAAGTCTAAGGTTCCCATGAGACTTCCTCAGGTGTCAGGGCTGCAGTTGTAAGCCCTCGATCTCCTGGGTGAGCGCACGGTTGTCCATGTCTCTGGCCACTCTTCCTCCCCAGACCGTCCCTGTTGTATCAGTCTCTCCATTAGCATGGTCTCCGTTTGAATTAGGCAGCTCCTTGGGGTCAGAGCCATGCACAGTTGTGTTTGGTAACCTAGAGGGCCTTCCTGGTGGAGGGGCTGTTATTCCATCTCACTCCTTCATTCCTAAGGATATGTCGTTACCTGAGTGCTAAGAAAAGTTGTGAGGTTAATGGATAAATTGAAGGTCAGAACGCAGCATTAGCCAAATGCGATTTTCACCACAAAAACTCCAGGAAATATTAGCTAATTAACATCCCTATATAAGTCAGAAACAAACCTATCAACGTCATCAGGCCCCATATCGCCAGGTGGCAGCGCCCAGGACCCGAGACAGCCAGCCTGTCCCAATGACAGGACAGCACAGGCCGCGACCTGCTGACAGCAGGGCTCTGAGTCTGAAATACGCTCCACTTCAGAATCCTAAAAGCATGTCCTCAACATGACTTGGCCACCAGGAAACACAGGCGGGAATCCTAAGGGCACGTCGGCCGTGACATGGACCGGGGCAATCGTTTGCATCTGCTCAGAGCACCGGACATAGATGACCTCCGTCTTTGCCTGAGGACACGCTGCCCTGAGCGGCGAGGTCAGGAGCACTGACTGCGCTGGGGCTAA